CCCCATTTCGTCACAAACTCCAAATGTAATTAAAATGTCTTATTTTAATGTTTTCTTTAAGGGAAACATGTATATGTAGGATTTCTTATGTATAAGAAAATGTACAATTTCTATTATGTGGGGAAGGGGAAAGGGTGGGGGGGAGAAAATTGTTTGTATTTCTTATAAAACTTTTCAATAAAAAAAAAAGAAAATAGTGTCCTCAAACAGCTTATAGAAAATAGCTAAAATATTTATAGTGTTAACATTACTTTCTGCACAGGTTGAAAGGATGTAGAATTTAGAATTTTTCTTTATTTTGATAAAAAAATGTGTAAGCTTTCCTATTTCTGAAATAAAAATCTCACCCCAACCATTGAAGGGAGAGACAAAAATCCCCAAATCAAATTCAAGATTCTAGTGTTTGTGAGTATGGAGTCTGGGTCAATCTGGTCTTTGGTGGTTTATATATACATACATATATATATGTATGCATATTCTTTCTAGCCAGGTTTTACCTACGTAAGCTAAGTTGTTCTGCAGCCCTGGTTAGCTTACGTAGGTAAAACCTGGCTAGAAAGAATATGCACATAAAAACCTACGAAAAAGGGGAAAAAAAGACACACACACACACACACACACATATATATATACACATGTATACATGTATACATATTTATTCTTTTTAATTCATAGGTTCAAATGTATAATACTTTTTTAGTCAGGGTTTTTTCCTATGTATCAACTTGATCTACATAGGATGACAAAAAAGTATTATACATATACATATACATATACATATACATATACATATATATGTCTATGTAAGTTTTCATGGGTATATATGTGTGTATAGTTAATATTTCGGGTTTCTTCCTGTGTAATTGTGGATATATCCCTAAAAGGGTAGAAGCGACGTTTCAACAGAATCTCATCTGCCATCATCAGGCTTATGTGAGGAGTCTTTTGCAGTAACTGCCGTTGCTATTTCAAATCTGGTGCTGGTAGTCTGGGATGGCTCCACCTTTTCATTCTGATTGGTTGGGAGTCCCAGTATGTGTTTATTGGCTTGGCTTCGGGTGTATGGTCGGTTTTTCTCCACCAGGTGGTGGGATTCTGCCGGTTGTAGGGGGTTCGGCCGAACCATTTGTTAAATTGCTGGCTCGACCCGCCCCTTGCCCCGCCCCTCCGCACCACTATTTATTGGCCTCGGCCCTTGCACCACATGAACCGTTTGTTAAATTGCTGGGTCACCCACCCCTCCCCACCACTATTTATTGCCAATACATAGTGGTGGGGCAGGGCGAGCGAGCCAGCAATTTAAGAAACGGTTCGGTGGTTTTTTTTAATTTATTGGCCTCAGAACACACCCAACCATTTTTTAAATTGCTGGCTTGCCCGCCCCTCACCTTGCCCCGCCCCGCCCCCGTCAGTGGAAATTTGGCACGTTTTTCAGAACCATTAGTGACCTTTGGCTGGCCACGCCCCCGAACCGGTTCCCGCTCACTCACCCTGCCCGCCTGATGCTCGCCCGCCCCGCCCAGCCACTGCAAAGTAAAGTAAAACTTCTCCTGAGTGCGAGAAGTTAATTGCCTCGCACTCCCTGAACTCAATGGCTGAGAGATGACCGAGAGCTGCAGCAGCCCTCTTTCTCCAGCTGGGCGGGAAAATAAGGAGGGGAACTTCACACACAAAAGAGAACCATGCTCACCAGTAAACTGCAGATTAGAGGCAGCCAGCAGCTCGCAGGCAGCAAAAGAAACCGCTTTGGCTCCAGTGCCAAAAGAAAGTGGTGGGGAGAAAAAGAGGGAGGGGAGGAACAGGGGAAGGGCCGTTTTTTCATTGTTTTAACTCCATAGCAACATCCTTCCCAGCTTCTGCTTTCTCCGCTCAGCAGCAGAGCTTTCTTTCTTTTCTTTTTTTTATAAGGTTAGTCCCCTTCTTCCCGGGAGAGAGAAGAGTGGGGGCGGGGAGAGAAACAGAAGGCAGCGTGGGATGGTGGGGGGTGGGAGCGGGGGTCTTCTTAGTCCCGGCTGGATGCTGCTTCCTTGGGTCCCCTCAACGTTTCAGTCCCAGAAAGCGGCTGAAAAATGCCCTTCTGTCCTTGCCTCCTTCCACTTTTTATTTGGTTTTCCCTCCCACCCTGAAAGGAGTTTCAAGCAAAAGAAGTGGGGGGAGTCTCAATGTCTGGTTAAAATGGGGAGTACTTCCATTTAAAGAAGAAAAGCATAGCTCAGACTATTGCGATTATTTTTTGCTCCTATATTCTGCTGTTTAGGTATAAATTTTGTTAATGTAGAAATTTTACTTACAGCCTATTAAACAACAGAGCTAGCTGTCTTCCTGCAATCGTGTGTATCTATTAGGAGTAATTCCCACTGAAAGAGACGAGCCTTACTGCCAAGTAAACATGCATAGGCTTTACGTTGAGAGATAGGGTATCGATTAGTATGAGATGTGTTAGAGAGAGAAATGAGAACTTCTGTAACAACAGATACTTTGTGCCAAGACCAGGTGTGTGTGTGTGTGTGTGTGTGTGTGTGTGTGTGTGTGTGTGAGAGAGAGAGAGAGAGAGAGAGAGAGAGAGAGAGACAGACAGACAGACAGACAGACAGAAAGAAAGAGGGAAGGAGAGAGAGATAGAAAGGAAAGAAAAAGGAAGGAAGGGAGAGAGAGAGAAAAAAACCTGTGCTAATTATTTTTAATATTTCCATTATTTATCATGTATTAATATTTTACTCTGTCCCTACACCTAGAGTGATTTTCCTGCCTTCCTTTTGCCCAGGGCTACCACATATTTTCCGGGGATTTACATGCATTCAGTGACTATAGTCCAGAGCATAAATATGTTTATTTTGTACATCAGGTTGCATAAATCCATCTTAATACGCTATTCCTGGTATGTGATGTTTCATGTACATACAGAGAAAGAAGCACCCTTGGGATCTTTGACTTTTAGGCTGGCTGTCAAACATCAGCCATAATAGCAATGACTGTTTTGAACAATAGGCAGGTTGCATTACACGAATGGCTATTTTATAACATGAAATTATGACTGAAATATTTCTACACCTATATTGGTTCACACTTCAGGAAGTTTCTTTACAACCAACAAGGAATGCTTATTTTCTGAAATCATGTACATTCCAGTTTTTTCCCCTTCTGGGCTCAATGTGGGCTTAAAATGAGCACAGGACCACAGCCAAGTAAACATATATAGTAACAGTACTAACCATCATTAGGTGGAGCAGCCATTTTAGATTATTTATGTTGGGTATTAGGGAAGTACCCAACAGGCTACCTGGACAATGCACAGCTGACTCTATAGCTCTGAAATAAATCTCCTGAATTTAAAATGTTATATAGGCACCAGTCTAAAGAAAGGTTCCACTATCAGTCCAGTGTGATATTGCAATCTCACGTGTGTCAGTTCTACAGCAACAGAACTATTCACAACAGATATTTATTCGAAGCAAGTCCCATTGACTACATGGGAAGGTGCATGTTCCCAGGTAATTAAGAAATGACCGGGGGCTTCGGTTGAGTGTTTAAGGTTGCAGACCCCTGACCGACCCCACCCCATTGCTTCACCTTGCAGCCAGCCCTGTAGGCCTGTGCCCGCCTCCCACCTGGGCAGCAGCGGCCTACCTACCCCAGTTGTATCACCTTGCCCTGCAGCCGGCCCGAACACCCGCCTCGGACTGCCTCGGACTGCTCCAGCAGGTCATTTTTATTTAATTAATTTAATTAATAAGAATGCTGCAACGGGCATCAATGATGACAGGTCAAAAGTGCGAGGACCTGTCAGAAATCACTTTTTTCAGCCCTCTGGGTAGTCCCTATGTGCATATAGACTACTCAGAGGGCTGAAAAAGTTATTTTTGACCGGTCCTCACACTTTTGACCAGTCCTCGCACTTACGACTGTCCTCACATTTTACATTTTGCATCCTATCTTTTCACCATGCTGAAGAGAAGTAGTTGTGAAATGAGTGACACAGTTGTTAAGAATGCTGCAACAGGCATAAATGTGAGGACAGTCATAAGTGCGAGGACCAGTCAAAAGTGCGAGGACCGGTCAGAAATCAATTTTTTCAGCCCTCTGGGTAGTCCCTATGTGCATAGCCACGCCCACCCGGTCACATGACCAGCTAGTCACGCCCACCGGTCACATGACCAGCTAGCCACACCCACCTAGTCACATGACCAGCTAGCCACGCCCCCAACTAAGCCACGCCCACAGAACCAGTTGTTAAAAAAATTGAATCCCACCACTGCTTACTACTAAATCTCCCCTTCTCATTCTTCCAGAGCCAGAGACTCCATCACTCACCAACCGCCATGCTGAAGGGGCTGGAACTTCCCATGGGGAAGGAGAGGACCAGGAGGAGGACTTGAAGAACTTGGAAAAGCTCCCGAGGAATCCCAAAATGGATTGAAACATCTATTGTACTACAAACATCCCTAATTTTGTAAAATAAAGTTCCAAAAGAAGGAAGAAACTCACGAATGTCTGGCTCCTGACACTTTTAGTCCTATGTGTATAAAGCTAGGTCTACTATGAGGAGCTCCTGAAGGAAAATTCCCAGCTTGTGGGAAACAACGCCGGACTCTTCAGGGAGCTGGAGGAGAAACGGAGGAGGTGAGAAATTTTCTGACAGTCCAAAAGAAACACAAGGGCGGATATTACAACACCGGAAGACAAGAGAGAAACTCTTGAAGACATGAAACCTCCGATGCTGCTGTATAAACCGGAGAAGGAATGGCTGAAAGCTTCTGGGGAGAATCTCAAAGCCAAGAAAGCCCCACAGAGGCTTCTCCTCAGCCATCCAGAGACTCCCTGGCAGGAAGACTCTTCTGGCATCCCTGGTCAACCTCCAAAAGGAAGGTCCTGGAGCCTCCAGAGGGGTTGGCTGGATGTACCCATAATTCTTCTCCAAGAAAAAGGAGCAGAAACACCTCATTGAAATGTGCAGAAATGGAGGGAAGCATCTGTTCAAGCCATTCAAGATTGACAGACGTCTATGGTGGAGATCCACACTCCATGCCTTGAGGTGATCTTCCTTCCGAGGGGATCCTTTGATGGGAAGTGAGGGATCTCCTCTTCCTTTTTCCTCCCATCGAGCACTGAAATGACTTCTCCTCTTGGCTGTTTGGCTGCTTCTCCTCAGGCCTTTGAGGTCCCAATGGAGCTGGATAGGACTCTCCTTCCAGGTCACGTCCAGTTCCTTGCAGTGATATCAGATTTGGCTCTGAATCTGTGGAAAATGGGATCGTAGAAACACCCAGGAGCATAGAAGAGTCCAAAGGCAGATGCACGAATAAATGTGATAAATGTATTTATTAATATAACAAAACATATTAACTATATACAAAGGCTGTCTTGATATCCATTAAGATAGGGGGCACACAGCGTGTGTGACCACCCCTATCAAAGGTCATGTCTCATGGAGAACAAACGTAAAAGAGAGCTTGGTGGAAAGGTTAGAGGGGGTTTTATACTCAGTGTAAGCCCCTCCTCTCCACATAGGGGTGGGGGCACTTCCTGCCTCCACTAGTGTCTGTATGATATATGTGCCAATGGCTTGCAAATACTTGACAGTTCCCCTCCTTGCGAGCCAATGGCATGCAAACATACAAATGCAATGCACAACAGATTTTACCCTGTGAGACATAACTTTTTACACAGATCTTTGTGCCTATCTGCTGGTAGAGGTTTTGTGAAAATATCAGCTGTTTGATATTTGGTCTGACAATGTGATAAAGATATAAACCCCATCTCTACTAGTTGCCTAACATTTTGATAGCGGATATCAATATGTCTGGACCTTTTTCCCACCGCATAGGCTTTGGCAATGCCTATGGCCCCGGTGTTGTCTTCTATAATTTGGATGGGCAAAGTCGGTGGTGTCCAGATGCTAGAAATTAAGGCATCAAACCATATCAGATCGTTCCCTGCCTCTGATAAGCATGCATATTCAGCCTCAGCGGTGGAGCACGAAACAAATTTCTGTTGCCCCACATGCCAATGGATGGGTGCCTCATTTAATAGTACCAAGAAGCCCGAAGTACTCCTACGTGTCTTGGTATCTCCGGCCCAGTCCGCATCCGCGAAGCATTTTAATTGGGCCTTGTCTCTATTCTCAGGTTCCAAGCGAAGCACGTAATCTGCTGTGGTCTTGAGATACCTTAATAGCTTTTTAATGGCCAACCAGTGGAACTGGGTAGGATGTTCCACTTGTCTAGATAGCAGGTTTACGGCCAGGGCAATATCTGGACGGCTCCAGTTACTTATATATAGTAATGAGTCGATCACTGACCTAAATAGAGTATTATTTTGGAACTCTGGGCTATCCTTGTGTGCCAATCCATAATAGTCGGTTTGCATTGGGATAGCTGTTGGCTTGCTATCTTCCATTTTACATTTCACCAAGAGTTCCTCTATCTTTTCCTTTTGGGAGAGAGCAAAACCTTTTGATGTAGTGATGATTTGTACGCCTAGGTACTTGTCCACATATCCTAAAGACTTTAGAGTGAACTTTTTTTGTAGGGTCCTGGCAAATATAATACTTCCCCCCTTGTCAGGCCCTATATATAAAAGGTCATCGACATACACTAGGACTTTCTCCAGCCCCCCTTTGGTATCCCTTGTGAAGGTACATTTATCAGCTGGAGATGGATGGAAACCCAGTGATTTGAGAGTTTTAGTCAGGCATTTGTACCACAGTCTGCCTGATTGCTTGAGGCCGTACAAACTTTTCTTCAGAAGCCAGGTGTGGCCTTCCTGCCATTGAAATCCAGGGGCACCTCTGACGTAAATTTCTTGTTTTAGATGTGCGTGTAAATAAGCGGTTTGCACATCAAATTGAAAAATGTGTTCCCCATGTGCTGCTGTGGTGACCAAAGCAGCCCTCACACTTTCCGCTCTCACGGTGGGGGAGTATGTTTCATCAAAGTCCTGCAAGTAGCGCTGTGTGTAGCCTTGTGCTACCAGCCGGGCCTTATAGAGGAGTTTGTTGTTGGGCATTGGCTTGACCTTGTAGACCCAATGGGTGCCAACTGCTTTCCTCTTTTTGGGGACTTCCATGGGGATGAAGACTTTCAATTTTTTGAGACTGTCCATTTCCCGCTCCATTGCCACCCTCCACCTGCGCTGTTCTTCCTCGGGAAGCTGGAGGACATCTGAGTACGTTTTAGGGGCCATGGTAACACTGTTGACCGAGGCAACACAGCCAATGTCCAACCTTTTGGGTGGCACCCCTTTATTGGAGCGTTTTGACCGTCTGGGAAATTGCCACTCACCATCATCATTGTCATCCGGAGCATCGGTGTCAGAATTGGAGCTGCCGGAAGTATCTTTCCAATCAAAATGGGGCGGGCCTCTGTCCCAGGCGCTGCGAAGATATGGTCGTTTAGGTGAGGCAGGAGGTGTGAAGTCACCCAGGGATTCCTTGTCTGAATCGTCAGAGTCAGGTAGGGATTCATCACCATCCGGATCTTCGCTGGTCAGTTGTTTGGAGTTTGTTGGTTCATCCTCTTCAGGTAGTGCTGCTTGTTCAGTGTCGCTTCTAATAGGGGAATAACCGGGTTCATTGGAATGAATTTTTGACCAATTTGACCCCTCCTCAAAGGAAGCTGATCTAGAGACAATGACAAGGTTATTTTTGTCTACAAACCTAGAGGCCTTGCTGCCGGTTGCATAACCTATAAATCTGAGCCTCCTTGATGCCTTGCCCCCCTTTCTTCTGAGGTGCTTGGGAATATGGACCCAGGCATAGGAACCAAAAATTCTCAGGTGTGAGAGGCTAGGTTTCCTTCCATGGACCAGGAAGTATGGGGTTTGGTTAATGGCACTACTCCACGTCCTGTTGACTAGATAATTAGCCATTTTGACCGCTTCTGCCCAAAAAACTTGGCTCATGTCAGCATCTGCAAGTAGGCAGTTCATGACATTCTGCAGCACGCCATTTCTCCTTTCTGAAATACCATTCTTGGACGGAGTTCGAGGGGATGATTTAAAATGGAGGATACCTCTCTCCATCCACTTTTCAAAAATCTTGGATGTAAACTCAGTCCCCCTATCACTCTGCACCTGAGCGATGCACACCTTGTGTTGCATTTGGATCTGGTTGTAAAGATATTTGAAGTTGGTAAAGACTTCAGTTTTGTCCTTTAAAATAAATACATGTCCATAACGAGAGTAATCATCTACTACCGTTAAAAAATAACGCCCCCTACCAAGGGAGGGTCTAAAAGGACCAACCAAATCCACGTGTACCAGCTGATAAGGATACCTTGCACGGCGGGAAGAGACCTTAGGTATAGCAGCAGTTTTAGATTTTGCTGCCTTACAGATGGCACATTCCAAATAGGTATTACAATTCTTTATCTTAAGCCCATCAGAAAAATCTTGCATTTTCTTAATAACCGGGAAGCTGGCATGGCCGAGCCTGCGGTGTAATATATGAGCACAATCCAAATGTAAAGGTTTACCCATGCATACTTTGTCAACCTTATGTATCTTACCATTACAAGCCTTGGTCTGTTCAGTAATGAGAGTAGGCACTGGATTAATGGTCACCTTAGATTTTTTCAGGGTTGGCTGAGGAGTTGTGACCTTAATGGGCTCAGCCTTAATGGCTTTGGATGTCCTAGGAGCTGGTTTAAAAGCTTCATTGGTTTTAGGTCCAGGGTCCTTGAGTTTGGACAACCTGGGGGCTGGCACAGAAGCTTTCTGCTCTATCTGGGCGTTAGCTCCCTGAGCCCTCTTGTTAGGTTTCTTGTGCCTTTTGACCTGTGCTTTTGGGGAAAAATAAGGCAAATTGTTGATTTTTACAATATCGCCAACAACACCCCCATTTTCGAAAACATAACCTCCACCCTTCTCAAAAACCAGTTTTACATTTTTATCCTCAGTCAATTTTAAGATGCTTAAAAGGTTGTTCTTGATTGAGGGAACATACAGTGCCTGTCAGGTATGCTTCCTTCAGTATCCAGGAAAGAAAACCCCAAAGTCAAGCATTTTGAAGAATTTGGTACTTTTACTGAATAAGAAATGATTAACAACCCAGTTAAGCTGGAAGTGAGCAAAACGCGCAAAATGCATCTACTAAGCTTCTTCCCCCCCTCGTGTTTATAAATCCTCAGCCAACCCAAAGGTCTTCCAAAGGTCAGGTGGCAACACGTCTGGCAGCGTCATCCATCAGGAATGTCGAGACAGTTGGTCAGCCGTCCCCTTTTGAAAATACAGTTTTGATTCCCACGAAGTCCCCTCCTACAAAGACAAACCCCCTCCTGCTCCCTTCCCCCCCTTTGCTCCATACCTAATCCCTCCCCGTTTCTTATGGCAGCTGAAGCAGGCAAGCTGAGGCTGACATTCGGCCCCCCCTTGCAGAAGAGACGTTAGTCCTAAATAAAAGGAAAGAAGAGAGAGAAAAACAGAATATACACAATGATTAGGGTTTATCAGGGTATTTGGTATAGAATTGTTGTACTTTCTTGGGAGCTCGGACATCCCGTTTATTTACCCATTCAGCCTGAGATAGTGGAAAATGTTTCCAGGCAATCAGATATTGGACTTTACCATGGTGTTTTCTAGAGTCCAAGATTTCCTTAACCTCAAAATGTTGCTCCCCTTCTATGAGAATGGGAATTGGAGGGGTGCTTTGATCAGGCCTTAGGGGAGATGAGTGTTCAGGTTTCAATAAACTAACATGAAATACAGGATGTATCCGTCTCAAGGTTTTTGGCAATTCCAATTCAACTGTCACTGGATTAATCAGTCTAATCACACAGAATGGTCCTACATACTTAGGCCCCAGCTTTTTGGACCTCTGGGTGGTTTGTAAGTATTTGGTAGACAAATAGACTTTGTCCCCTACTTTATAAATGTGAGCTGGGGACCTTTTCCTATCGGCTTGCGCCTTATGAGCTCGGTGTGCTTCATCTAATGCCTTGCGAGTCACTGCCCAGGTGCTCTTTAGTTGTTCAATCCAATCCATCAGGGAGGGATTTTGGGGATCATCTTGAGGTAACTCGGGAATGGGTACAAAATCCTGGCCCGATGCGACCTTAAAAGGGGTGAATCCGGTGCTACTGTGTACAGAATTGTTATATGCCACTTCTGCAAATGGCAACAAGTCTACCCAATTGTCCTGTTGGTAATTTACGTAACACCTAAGGTATTGTTCAAGCACCCCATTGGTTCTTTCACAAGCCCCATTTGTCTGAGGGTGGTGACTGGAACTCAATCCCTGTG